CAATTAAATATAATTAATATTATAATTGACATGTCATTAGAAATCATTAAAATTAATTAAGAAATTAATCCATCTACAAAGGATTTGAACAGTTTGTAGTTCTTAGTACAAGTATTTTGTATTAACTTACATGATCATTGTACAAATACTGAAGTATTTGTTGATCTTTATACTGAAACTACATTACAAGTTCATCTTGGAATGATAGCCAGTTTTTGTTTCTTCGGGACTCAACACTAGAGCTGCATGCACTATATGAATATTTACGAAACTGATATTTTTGCATTTCGCATCGTTCCGCGATCGGTCCTTATTTTATCAGTGACCACAAGATAACGGTATATTAGTGTGTGGTAATCATTCTTGCCTATTTTATGACGCAGACACCAATTAAAAAAGTTTATAGTATTTAAGAGAAATCCTATTTCATAGTAGCTGTCATAAATTAAAATGGAATTTACTCATACCTTCAATGCTTTGATTTTGGTTTCCCGCTGACCTTTTTAATATTTTTGTTGTTATTAATCTTAATTTATATATAGATTCGGTACTTATGGATCAAATTTTAGAGAGATGCTATAGTTGTTGGTTTCCCATAATAATAAGTATCTAATATTATTTTAATTATTATAATTTATTAATAGATTTTGTAAACAGGTTTTTCGAACAGTAGTGAACTACAACAACAAAAATTCATCTTATATTATTTTAATTAAGTGAATTTTTGGCTGACCACAAAGAGGTTTCTTTGGCCAGTAGTGTTCTAAAAATAGTTTTTGTTATATATTAATCACTATAAAATTAATATTCCAAAAATTTATCATAAATTCTATTAAAAATAATTTACGTGGTTTTGTTTGAATTGCAATATATGTTGGTAATAAAATTTCTATGTTTTTTTTTATAAATTTGGTCTTTATTTTTTTTGTAAGTAATAATTAAGTTATAATATCACAAGACTGTACATTGTACACCTATTAAATTTAATTGTCCAAATTTCACTTATAAGCTGGAGATTAGTGTTATATCTTTTATATTATATCCAAATCACGCACAATGGCCCCATAATTTTTAGAAGGGAAGAAATAGGTATGATTTTTTAAATTATAATGGAAAATTTTTCTACTACTACTGAATAACTTTTATTGACAAAATATCACATGCTTTCTGACATATTTTAATGGTTCAACTCTAAGTTACTGAGTCATTTTTCTACATTTATTAATAATAAATATTAAATTTTATTATTTTACATAAATGGATATAGCGCTAGAACAAATGAACCGCAAGTAGTGTGTATGAAAGAGTTTGAGATCCGGAAATGTTGCAGGTGTACTCGCTTTTCCATTTTAAATTGTTAATTGTTTTTATGTCAAAATAAAATTGACTCGTGTATTAAAAAAAATACTTTAATAATTTTTATAGTTAAGCTTACATTTAATTATTATTATTTAAAATTTTTATCAGGTAGTGCTGTGATATATTTTGTTGTGATTAATATGTATTTCTCTGTTAATGAAATATAATAAATACATAAATATATTACGTCTAAATATATAAGTATATATAAATATATATGTATATATTAATATGTATATAAATATATATCTATATTAATCTAAAATTAATGAAATGTTTTATTTATTCACTTATTTAATAATTATTTGTACCACATCTTTTAATTGAATCTAACAATTAATACAATAGTTGTAAACATATTCTGACTTTAAACGACGTAAAGGCCCCATTAAAAATGGGCTAGGTTCAAAATACAGTAAAATGTCTATTCCAAATATATAATTACGTTTATGTACTTAAATATCTTTAGTCTAACTTTCAATGAAATCGCAGGGTGTGAATTACGTGAATATCGTTTAGATGCTAATCTATCGCTAATTGAGGCTACTTAGTGTTCAAAGACGTCTCTTATGAAGTATTTTCGAATCGTTTTCTATGAACATTTGCAATAATTGATAAGATTACAAATGTGTCATTATATATCTTCGTCATTATTAACAGCACGTTTAGGTGTCAAATTATTAAAGATCTTTTAAATCTTTTCAATAAAATTTAAAAACAAACAAGTTTTCGGGTTTAAGTTACTGAGAATAGCCAAGGTTCATAACAGAATATGTAGTCAATAAATTTCATTGATAAAGCTACAAAGGCTATTGAATCAAATTTATATTTATTTTTTATAAATCATAAATGTATATATTACCTTTTCTTCTTATTTATGTTAAAAAATTTTATTTTATACAAATACTTTGCAGGTTACTTTAATTGGTTTAGAGAGGTTTTGTATCTTAGGTATACTTTATGATTTTGGAACTCTTTTTATTGCCTTGATTAAGAAATCCTTTCTGCGAGTTACGAAAGGTATACAGGAAAAACTAAAGACATATATATAGAAAAGATTCCTGGTACTTGCAGTCACAAATAAATATTGACGAATAATTAAATACAACAATTATTTCCAAGACCACTGATGATGGGTATTTGGCAATACTCGAAACAGCTGTATGGTCAGCCAAAAATTCAATTAATTAAAATATTATAAAATTAATTTTTGTTGTTACAGTTCACTACTGTTCTAAAAACCTCTTTTTAAAAGATTTAATTAAAATTTTTAAGTATATTGAAATAACATGTAAATTCGGGGAAATCTGTTTAAAATTACATAAGCCCACCAGTTATTATCTTTTTTGAGAGCCACTTAAAATTAAATCAGTACTTAAATCAAGTTGATGTTTACATTTAAACTAAAGCTATGCTATTTAGTTAAGATATTTCATCTATTCACACAGATAAGTCAGCTATGCAAAAACTGTCCGTAAACTTTAATTCAATTAACTCAACAAGTAAATTGCATATAAACAAGCGAACAGAAACGATTAAACTCGTGTCAATTTTTAGGCATTCGAAGCTTTGTGAATCTGTTGTCCAGATCTTCCCATTTAAGGTTCGAAAGTGTTATATAAATTTTTAATTTATAGTATATTGGGTTATAGACCCAAAGTTCTCGTTATCATCTCTTTTACATTTTCACAATAAAAATATTGCTACAAAAGCTATATTCTAAATTTATCGTTTAAAGTTGTCATATGCGGATAATCAGTTAAAACGACACAAATAAACTTCCTTACGTTATAAAAAAATAAAAGAATCATAGATGTTATAGCAATTTAACAAGTTAATTTCTATCCTCCAAAACTATTATTATTGACATAAAATTGTTAAAGAGTATCTTTATATATTTAATAATAAATTAAGTTCATTTTTGTACATAATATCTAACTTATGGATTCATTAAGAAATACTGAAATATAAATCGCAGTGTAGAGATTACCGAGCCATAATAATAGATACATCTATAGAAGATCCATTAACGCATAATTAAAAAACATGTACAATTCTAACTATTTCAAAAATGCTTAAAATTATTTTATTCATTTTAGAATATTGATCATCATTTAAATCCCATCCAGAGTTGACACTTAATTTAAGCAATCCCATCACTTCGTATCTTCTTTTTGACCAATACAAAACTTTATCAGCCACTACTGAATCATATATTCTCTGGTGATGGAGAATCTGTTAATGTCTCATTTGGAATATGAACTGATCGTAGTTTTTATGTAGGTTAAGTGCTCCAATCGTTCCTAATAGGCATACTTCTATTTATTTTTTATGGTTGTTAGGTTTGCGCTTAATTTTAGCTGGTTTAGTGTTCAATTGGAGTGGGCGTATAAGCGACAATACTTTGTCTCTTATATAAATTTTTGAACTGTTGCAAGCTTACTATCGTCTACACTGGGTTGTCTTTGGCAAGATATCTATGTTCTAAAATAAATATTTAATTTATACGAATTTTTTCTGAGAACAAACATTCGTATGTGTTAGTAAAAACGTGTGAGTGTATGCAAAAATTTGTATCAAAATCCAACCAACGTGGACATAATGTTAAAGTTTTTGTAAAGTGCCGTACTTCTGATGTACCAGAGCTCATTCACTATTCTTCTCAAAACTACGTTTCAACAGATTATGATATTGATGATAATCGTTTTGAATGCTTATCCATATGATACACATCCATATAGGAGGTTTGTGACCTTATTAGTGTTTTGTGCCATATAATTCGGTTTGTAGTAATTAATTGTCTGAACTGTGTTAATTGACGCAACGTTCGTGGCATAGTAGAACATTAAACTTTTTTCTTTGTGATAAACGTGGTTTCAAGACAAGAAGTAGTTTCTCATTGTCAGACCCCAGTACAAATATTGTTAATTTTCAATTTATGTGATTATTGTAAACTTTTATGTTTGATAAAGATTATTTTTATATCCTGTGGATTTCATCTTATTTTCCATTTATTGAAGTAGTTACTTAATAAATGTATAAAAGTGAAAAAAAATTGATGGAAGTGTTAACTTTTCTGGCAATATAACTATAAAATATATGAAATTGAAGAATCGATGCCCCGTAGTCTGCTACTTTATTCATTAAAAACCAACTTAAAGTACTTACCAGATTAAACAGATCATATATATATCACTTATTTTGGAGATTGTCATTTGTATTGATATATATTTAGATATTTAATATATAATCTTTGAATATCTATGTTTAATATTTTGAAACTCATTAAATTCTCTAACTTGTAAAACTATTCTCACTTAATTTTCTAAGTGATATCCATACTTTCAATAAGTAACATTATTAGAAAAAAATTCGAATAATATTAATATAATAAATTTTATATAATAAATCCAAATCATTAAAAATAATATATATCACATCGCTGTATATATACTTAAGTTTTTACCAATTATATATTATTTAATTTTAGAGTTCTGGCAACTCTATTATCAAACATATTTAAGAATTTAATTTTGTGTATAATTTTAATTCTATATTAATTAGTAAAAGTTTTGATAAAATAATATTCCTATACCGTCGAATTTCAAAATAAGATATATTTTTTTATAATTATGATTTTTACAATATGAAATAAAACTATATCGTACAAATTAAAAAAAACCCGGCATCTAGCGGTTGTTAGCAGAAGTGCTTAGATAACAAATAGAGTGAAAAGCAGCACAAAAGACAAGACCAAAATTAAAATTTGTTATTGTGTATAAGAAAGCAGCAGTGACAACAGCTGTGCCGTAGATAAAATTGGCCTTCGATTAAGAAAATAATTTATGTTTTAAAATATTGAAAAATTGTGTAAATTGTGTTAAAATTTTAGTGCATTTAATTTAACATATTTATAATAAAATGTGTGGTGGATTCACTTGTTCCAAAAATGCGCTTATAGCGCTGAATATTTTATATGTGGTAAGCCAGAAGGAAAAAAAATTATGGTATATCAAAAAATGCGTGAAGAAACAGCAGACAGAACCAATCGAATCTTCAATATTGATTTTTGTAAATAAATTTAGTATTGCCAACTTCGTTTTTGTAAACAATGTTTGTGTATAAAAATATAATGAATGATATAAGGCGGAAGTATTTTCACAAATTAAGAAAAAAAAATATGAATTCCTGTTTTGCAACATATTTTGCGTTTTAATATACGAAAAATTTAAATAAATATTTATATATAAAATAACTGATAAGAGTGACAATGAGGTTGGCATCGCGAATTCAAAATGTTTCGTTAACGTTATTTGTTTCAACTAAAAATATTTATTAAAATTGTTTTTTTTTTAGATGGTCGGCTTTCTTTTGATTGGAGTTGGGGTTTATGCACGTGCTGCGTCGATTGTAACGAATCTTCCAATAGTCGGTGGCATATTGGCTTGTGGTGTCATACTGATAATGATATCGATGTTGGGACTTGTTGGAGCTGTTAAACATCATCAAGTTATGCTCTTTTTCGTATCCTTTACAAAGAAAAGACTTTAATCCTTTATTATAATTATAGGTTATATACAACAGGTTTATATAAACAATATTTGATGAGTTAAGTGTATGTAAGAAATTAGGAAAGAACATGAATTTTCAAATTAGTATAAATAATATTTAAGTAATCTATGTATTTATATGAACCAATTTTATATTTTCAAAAATTCTTCGCATTAGTGATAGTAAAATATTAACCGTTTTAAAACTTACTTTACATCGCTTATCAAACGCAGCTGCTGCTTATCAGTAACAACCTATTTACTTTCATAATACACGATCACCCAGGCTGTATTTCAATTGATAACACCAAAGATTTTAATGAGATTTATTACGTGAAAAAAAGCATTTCCTAAAAGTAGCAATCAACGTTTTGCGTAATGCAATGACGCGGTAATTTCTGAGATTCTGACCAATTTTAAACCACAAGTGAAATGTAAAAATATGTTTTTGCATTAGGCCATGAATCTGCTATTCTGTATTTGTTAAATTTGTGGTGGTTTAACATGTGCAAAATGTATATAATATTCTTAAAGTTGTTGGCAATACAGCGGGTCTATAGTTTACACATATTAACTCCTAATTAACCTAGCCGGCTCTAAGTACCGAAACCATTCGTTTACATAAATGACCAAATTGAGTGTACCAGTTCCAAGAGGGACAATAATCATTGGTCTCGAATTACAGAAATGCCATCCGTATTTTTAGATAGGTAAATGAAATTCACTTATAGATTTTTTGGAGAAAACCTTAAATTTTGTTGATTGTATCTTATTGTTATTTTATAACTAAAATATTGGAACTGATTTTTTCCATTAATATCTTTGTGAAGATTTATATAGATCGATGCAGATTCTGTTATATCTGCTATATCAATTATTGCTTGGGTTATTATTGAATAAATTATTTGTATTAATATTCCATCATAACATAGTTTACGAATAAGTTCAGAATATACTTTCGATCACTTCTATAATCATTGACTGGTAAAATAGATTTACATAATTTATTTAAACTACAATTTACAATAAATTTGTTTTCAAAAAAAGTTTTCTTAAATCAAAACCACAACTACTACGCACAGTACATGATAATTTTATTCCTATTATTCCTCATACAATTCTCGATCGCGAGCTCATGCTTAGCTGTAAGTTCAGAGCAGCGTCAAGAATTTGCGGAACAAGGCTGGAATGAAGTATCGGATACTACACGTAAGCAAGTTCAGGACAATTTCCTTTGCTGCGGCTTTAATTCAACTAGCTCTGTACCTGACGGTTCTTGTGAGCTTATCAACAAGCAATGCTGTGCTGGATCCGATGTAGAAAATTGCGCTTGCGATCCATGTTTAACGAAATTGGAAGAGAAAATTGATTATGCTTTCAAATTGTGCGGTGGTCTCGGCATATTCTTTAGTTTTACTGAGGTAAAGTTTTATTTAAATCTAATCATACTTAATACATAATTGAGAAATTAATTAAATTGTATATTATTAATCATTTTAACATGGCATTTATTAATATTTTCGTTTAGTTCTTTGGTGTATGGTTAACAGTACGGTACCGCAATCAAAAAGATCCACGTGGCTTACCCAGCGCTTTTCTTTAAAGCTTACAACCACTCACCGAGCACATACACACTATACCTTATAGTGCATAACTGTGCAATATATACAAAACAATATACATATGTATATAAATATATGCATATATATATACAAAATTTCATATGCATTTTCATACTGTATTTATATACTAATTTACATTTATATTTTAACAATAATACGGTTTTAGGGTTTCCTGCGCACCAACTCATATACATATAAACTAGAAACTAGAATCAATCATGCAACTAAATGTTTTCAAACTGTAACTCATCACTATCTTAATAAGTGTCTGTACATTATATGTGTATTTACTCAATATTTTAATATTTTATTTAATATACCTATGACAGAAATGTATTAATATTAAACTAATCATTAACATACATCATACACTTATACTTATATACAATATTTAAAAATATATATTAAATATATTATTTATTTAATAGCTTAAGTATTTGTAAGCGTCCAGTATTAAGACGTTATTTAACATTAAGTTTAGAATGAACATAACTTTATAATATTAACATATAAATTACTTGAGTTTATTTATTAACACATACCCGTTCGAAATGTAACAATTAACATAACAGAGACAAGGGTCTCACCAACTTAAAAGTGCATTAAACGCATTCGACTTTCGATTATTTGGGTAAGCATTTTCTTACTTTAAATTTATTAATTTGTAGTACAGTTTCAATTCCTACAAATCTTTAAACTCTATTTAAAGTTGGTATGATTGTTAGTTAAATGATTTTGTTACACATTTTATCATTTTTAGTTCTATTTAATCACTAATGCTTATTTTTGATTCTATGTCTTAAAATAGTTTCTTATACTAGGTTTACACTGTCAGATTTAAAATAGATTAAATGATGAGGTTCAAATCTAGACTGAACTTTAATACCTCCAGAAGACTGCAAAATAATTCTGTTTGTTTATCGAATGAATAAGTTTGTGTATAAAATTAATTTGCTTCTGTGAAAATATAATTTGTTTATTAAATTAAGTTAAGAATAACTATTAAAAAAAGTTTTCCGTTATCAGCAGACGGAGTCTTATTTCGATTAATAATAAATTTTTAAATATTGTAATAAATCAAAGTTAAAAAACTTAAAAGTACTCCCAGGAGTACTATATAGCAAGAATATATATTTTCAACACTGATAATGTTTCATTATATTTTTTGCAACACTTTATTTTGAGAATAAATCTTCAATATGAATTTATTAAACTTAGTTTTCTTAATCTCCTAGTGTAAACATAGTATTAATTTATATTGCGAATTTTCATTCTTATGGACTACTCACATTCAATTCTGCTTTGTTAAATAATGTTTTTTTATTTGCTATTATGGATAATTCATAATCATAACTTAACCTTTCTCTTGCTTCATACCTTTCTATTTTAAAATTTTCAATCATTAGCGTAGTTAAGTAGGTCTATCACGAAATATTTCATAAAGAAACTGGGGTCCATAACTCGAAATAAATGTAGTATTCTTCTATTGTTATTTGATGAAATTCAATTAATGAAATGCCTATGTAATCATTGGCTCCTAGTTCTTATCGATACAGTCGATAAGATGTTTTTTTGCTTATCTCCTGCATTTGCAATGCATTAGGACATACTTAACATTTCTTTTATATAGAACCAGGTCATATATATCTTTACAAACAACATCTTCTATTTTTCTTAATCACCAAGATATGTATATTTACTATAATGATTTAAATTAAAACTTTTTAGGCTTTTATAATATACAAATGTAATTTAAAATACCTATATTTTAATGTTTTAAGTACTAATTTCACACAACAAAATGGTTTGACTTCAAATGTTTTTCAACTTATGTACCATATGCTTACAGTTTTATTTAAACTTTTTACGTTATTACACATATATTATTTAGAATACATAAACCATTTTAATCTTCTAAATGTTCTACAAATGCTCCTTTCAATTATATTATTTCTCTCAAGTAGACTAAATAAAATATTAAGCTTACTTATTGATTTAACATTTACTAATATTAATCATGTAGTTTCCCACAATATCCCAATATATATTAAATGCTTTTAATTTATTTATAAATTTTTTTTAATAAAAAATTATTTATTTGCCAGAGTTAATCATAGTAAAATTATGAATATGTCTACATCTTTTCCATATTTATTTTCTTTTTTATTTTTCAAATTTCACCTTATTTATAGGTTTCTGTTTCATATATTATTTTAAAAAATTTAATAAACTCAAACTACAAACTTCTATTTTATTAATTTTAGGTATTTGCAGTCTTCTTAGCACGGCGTTATCGCAATCAACAGAATCCTTATTATTTACAAGGGCGTACTATATACCCAGACGATTATATTTATTAAACTAGAAATTCCAAACGAGAAAAATTATTGAATTAAATTAATTTCTAATTTTAATACGTAATAATTTAAAATTTTATTTTATTTTTAAAAATAATTTGTTCCTAAGTTTGTTTAGTCAATGAATCAAGGCTGAACATTATAAAATATTTGTATTTGCTATTTCAATTTTTTTTCTAGTACAAACATTATTTTTTTATATTTCCAATGAGATTATTAAGCTTTAAAGTATCGCAAATTTTAATTATATATTTTTTAAATAATTTTATTAATTTAATTAAATAATAAAAAATAATTGTAACATTTAAAGAACACCTTAAACGAACAATTTATGTACAATACCATATTTAAAAGCTTATAGGTATACTATATATTTATTTTTAAGGGTTTTCAAACGAAAACTCAGTTTTTATTATTTTCATTATTGTTTATGTGTTTAATGAGAAGGAAATTTATTTAAATTTAATGAAGTATTTAATTGTATGAAATTAATTACAAAAAATATTAATAATCTATATGTCTTAGTATTCTCTTACATACTCCTTTTAAGAGTTTTACATATAATATTTAAGCATCCTTACAGTCATAAATACCATTTAATATATTTTTAGTATAAATCATAAAGCGATAATATTCTCTATATTCTGTGCTGTGATTGAAATAAATATGATCTTTAAAAATTATTGATAAAATTATAATATTTAATAATTTAATGAAGAAATTGTAAAAATTGAAGTAACTAACATATTCATGGTAGACCCATCTTAATAAACTCAGAGTCGTCTTTAGTAGAATTTATAGACTTTGAAGAGAAGAATAGAAGACCCCAAAGCAAGTGCTAAAAAGGCATGATGCACTAATTCAAAAACAGACGATAAGATGGTTTAGGTGAATACATGGCGTCTGATTATAAAATAAAACTTAATAAAATAGGACAAATACTAGTACTAAAAATAATACATTTCACTCATACATTTTATATAGTCGAAACCTTTATCATTTTAATCTAATAAAGCGATCTAATAAAGCCGTAAAGCGATAGTGCTTAACTTTATTTATACATATTTTTTATATATTTCATATATTTATACATAGGTGAATATATGAATTCCCTAGTTGGATGCAATCAACTTACATTTACAATTCCAGTCGGAGTTTCATTGTTCGTAGAGAAGACGAATCAAGCAGATAACTCCAGAAAAAATACAAAGACATCCGAACAGCTCAAGTTATTCAAAATATCAAGAATTGACAGATTAATCTGAGTTAAATTTTAATACATTACTGTACCATGATTTTAGCTAATCTAAAGCAGTTTCTGGAGACAGTCATACAATTTTCTAAGAAATGAAATGCAGATGTGTATACAAAACATACATCGCTACCACAGAAATAAGTTTGAAGAACTATTATAGACGAAATAAATCGCTCGTCGAACGGTTGGTATCGTATTTATTCTTCAAAAATATTAGAGCAGCACCGAGTAGATGCTATTACAGAAATATCATACGTTAGGCAGGAATACCTATAAAATACGACACTTCATGCTTTATTTATAAAAATACCTTAATATAAATAAATAGCTTTATATTTGAATACGTTCTTGAAATGAAGAATAAATGTTTGTATTAATAAGTGAAAAAAATTTATTACATACATAACATAGGTAATATATTATTTTCCACCATATATAAATTTTAAATAAAATGAACACGATTCTTAGATTTATGGCTTTTGAAATTTCATTGAATGAAATATAATTAAAACCAATTTGATGGAAGACAACTAATTTGTCATTATAATAATAGATTAGATTAGAATAATAATAGATGTACAATGAAGGAATAAATTTCTCGCTTGATTAGTTAACAAAAAATTGTTAACAAAACAAATGTAGCATCTTTTGTAGTTAAAATCCACAAGTAACTGTTGGAAAACCATTGCATCCACAAAAATAATGTATGGTGTACTATTTGATTTAAAGGTATACTGCTTTTCGAATGACAAATTTCATGTGCTTTAAAACATTTTAACGGAGATCGGAGTTATTACCAGCTAAGTATCTATAAGTAATCGAAAATTATATCAAAAGTATCCAGTACTGTAAGACGCTCCATTATCCCCCACAGGAGTGGAATTCATTTGAATGGTATTGTATTTAAAACCTGGTTAGACCAAACAATATATTGATATAAAATTTTTTTCGAAGTGATAATCCCAAGTGTATCTTATTTAAATCAACTTTCAGGACCACAAACTAAGTAACCCTGTACAATCTTCACATTTCGTAAAAAGCCCCTTTACATTACTCAAACAATTATCCATTGTGGAAATTGTAGAACTTACATACTTTATATAAAAACTAATGAGGATAATTTAAAGGATTCAAACAAGTTTATGTAGATCACATAAAAATACGTGATATCTATACTGACAGTCACTTGATGAATGGTCACGGTAATTTTATGCTCTTTTTGGTCTTCTCTTGTGTATCTCTTGTGCCTTGATTGTGTTTAAATTAAACACCAGATCTTTTTTGTATAGATATAAAGGATATTCACACATAAATACAGAAATTTACTTTTAAAAGGCTCAAACTCTCTCATTTATTACTCAGGGATATAATGCAAAATTGTCGTAAACAGAATCTATTTCCAATTTGATTGCATCATTGTTCATTTCTTTCAAATGGACGAATTTTATTACTGAACGATATTCAATTCTTTCCAAAATCCGCAAGGTACACTATTTCAATTATTTGCAAAAAGCTAACCAAACATCTAATGAAGTTGAAATTTTTACAGTTTTCGTAAAAACTTACCAAATATACAAAATATAATTGATATTGTTCTGGCGTTGCTACCGGTTGTGAAAGTCAGGTACTTATCAATCCACCTAATATGTATAAACGGTTTATAGATCCCTACACTATTGAGGATTTAAAGTTAATCTATAATTTGTCTTACTACTATTTTACAAATGACAAAATTTTTAT